AGCCTCTGGGGTCTGGGCTGAGGGCGGGGTGTCTGGAAATGCATGGGGGAGCTCTGAGTTTCTGCCCAAAGGAGCAAAAGTGAGGAGATGGAAGCACCATCCAAGCGCGCTGATCCAGGCACGAGCATGCAGGAAATCCAGGCAAGGGCCTTAGTGTGGTGGCCTGCACAGTTTAACGTTCGATAAGTGACGGCTGTTTCATTATTGTCATGATCATCACTGCTGTGACCCGAATATACTTATCTGGAGCCTGCAGAGGGGAGAGGTACCTTGTCAGAGGCCAGGTGGGAAAGGGAGGCCCCACTTCTGAGGGTACGTCTGTTGGGCTAGGCCTTATGGAGAGGGGAAGGGGAAGACATGGGGGTGGAGGAAGGTGGGTCAGGTCAGATCCCACCAGGAGGAAAGGCGGGAAAGTGATGAGATGGAGGGGCAGGTAGTCTGGTTCTGCTGGGTGCTGTGGAGGGGTAGAAGAAAGCAGGGCAAGGTCTTGGAGACCTTCAGAGGCCCGGTGGAATGGGGCAGTTGTGGGGCTAAGAGAGGTGTTTCTCTGGCTTCAGTTCATAAAGACATGTTGTGCCTCAAAAACTGTGAGATCAGCAATAATTAAGTCAATTAAAATGTCACTTAGCACATTAACAGCAGTGAGTTTTAAAGCAACAAAGCCTTGAATTTGATGGGGGAAGGGGCGTTCCAGCCGCAGGAGTGGAGGAGGGGATGGATAAAATTACTTCTAAACTCTATTCCCCTTCTCTACCCGGAGTTCATGACACCTTTTGAAGCCTGGCTCCATTGCCACATCCATTGGGACAAAGAGTATAAATGTGAAAATCAGCTGTGAACATCGCAGGGTATGGCCTTCCAGACTTTCTCCCCTATGCATATTTATACACATCTTACAAAAATGGGACCACGTCCTGCATCGCCTTTTGTTACCTATTTCTTCCTCTCAACCATGTATTGTGAACATCAGCACATACAGACGCACCTCGCTGTTTTCAACTGTGGCACTGAATCCATTGTGGGCCTGACTGTCCCGTTTGCTAAACTAATCCTGTCCTGATGGATAGTTAGGTTTCTGATCGTTTGCCATCCAAAGCAATGCCGTGATAAATATGACTGTATACGCATCTCGGCATACACGAAGGATACGTTTCTAGAAATGGAATTGTTGAATCAAAGATGATGCATTCTCAAAAGGTTTTGGATGCAGGGAATAAAGAGCTCTTTCGTCAGCGAGATAGAAACACTGTTTCCCACTCCCCTAGATAATCCTGGGTAATCATTTTCTTCATATTAGCTAATCTATTGGTGGAAAATGATGTCTTCTTGTTTCTGCCTTTGTTTGGTTGTGAATAAGGCTGAGCTTTTTGTCATATTGTCAGCTTTTTTATGTTTCTTCCTCAGTGAGTTGTTTCTTCATTTACTTGGCCCGTCTTTCAGTAGGGTGACCCTCTTTTTGCTTCTTAGTCTTTATTCATGATAGAGTGCATACACATGCCTCAGAGAGAGAGAGAGAGAGAGAGAGAGAGAGAGGAGGACCCTCCACAGGGTCTGGTCACATCGCAGTCCTCTTCCTGCAGTCCTTCAGCTAGTCAGATCCTGGGCACTTGCACACGTGCCTGGCATGTTTCAGGGTTGGAGACGGAACCACAGTTGCCATGTAGGACTTGGTTTCACCTGAGCAGCATATTACTTCTGTGTCACAGAGCTGGCCTCGCCCTTTCATTTCTATATGAAAGCTCTCTCTATATTATAGATCTTTTATTTCTGTCCGTGCTATTTATTTTTATCAATTTTTCGGTGCCATACATGTAGTAAATATTTTCCCAGGTTTGTTGTTTGCCTGCTGGCTTTGTTTATGGCGTGTTACGTTACACCTTATGTCCCAGATTTCTGCCTTCGGGATCATACTTACAGTGCGTGGCTGGGCTTCTGTAAGTGGCAGTGGTCAGAAGGTGTCATGTGTGAGCGCTGTCTCAGAAGCCTGTAGATCTAGCCCTCGGCTCCACTTGGACTTAGAGTCCTAGTTCATACTCGTGTCCCCAAGAACCTTGATTTCCCTTCCCTCCCTCCCAGACTTGCTTCTCCTCCCAGTTCTTCTGAATCAGGAAAAGGCCATCTCCACTCAGTTGCTGAGGCCCCAAATTGGAATGATGGTTTTTGTTTTTTTTTCCCCCTCACATTTAGAATTAACCTGTCAGCAATCACGTGGACTGTACGTTCAAACTCTGCTCAGAACCTGATCACTTCTCACCATCTCCCCTTTCCCTGGATTTCTACACTGATGGGGATAGAGGCGCGGGTCTGGTCTCTCTGCTTTTCTTCTCTACCCTCTGCAGTCTGCTCTCAGTACAGGAGCCAAAGTGAGCTTTTAGAAACAAATTGTATCAGGTTCGAGACCCTCCTCTGGGACGGGGCATGTGATGGCACAGTGACAACACAAGTGGACACACGTGACAAAGGTCCTGGGTTCCCATCCAGGGACCATCCTGAGAACGCTGGTTGCATGCTTATAGTCTAGGCTTGTTGCTCATAAACTGGGGGTGGATCACAGCATGGCAACCTGCTAGGGTACCTGTTTCTTTGTCTATCTCTCTCTCATGGAAGAAATAAATAAACTTAAAAAAAAAAAAAAAGCCCTCCAGGGGCTTCCCATCACATTCAGGACTAAACCCAAACTTCTTATGATGGCCCATGGCCTCAGAACTGACCCCTCCTCTGTCTTCACCCTCCTCTCCTCCACTCCCTCGCTCACTGTGATTTTGCCACCCAGTGTTCTTGCTATTCCGTGCATACAGGCTGACTCATGCCTCAGGGCCCTTGTCCTCGCTGTTCCTTCTGCCGGACAGCCTTTCTCCCAGAACTTACTTCATGTTTCTCTTCACTTATCAGAGAACCCTCTTCTGACCACACGTGCTAAAATAATCTTTCCCTCGTCACTTACCCCTGCTGTGTTTCTCTTCAGAGCACTTATCCTGTCTGACATTATTATATAAGATTTGTTAGATAGCCCTCCCCCCGAATGTAAATTCAATGAAATTGGGGCTTCAGTATTAATAGGTGGGTGCTTGGTAAATCTTAGTTTAACGAACAGGTGTGATGTTTGTGCAGATGTATCGCTGTGTAAATGGGCATCTGTGAGAATGTCTGTGTGTGGAGCTAGGGGAATAATGGCGAACTGAAGCCCTGGCCTGCTGTCTGTACTTACGAATGCATGTATAAACGAATTCGTGTGTGTGGGCAGGATGGCTTCTGCGACTGCCTTGCCCAGAACGTCTGCTGAGGTGTGCGTTTGCATGAAGTGTGTGTGTGCGTGCGTGCCACTGTGTGTGTTCATGTGCACGCTATGGATGTTTGGTTATGAGTAGCCGTGTCTGTTTCAGTGAGCGTGGGGAGCTGAGACACCGGACACCTTCTCTTATCAAATGAACCTGCCGTTGCCTCAGCCTTCGCTTCTGCCTCCCACAGCTGGGAAATAGCAAACACCTTTGTATCTTTAGGAGAATGCAGATACAGGGTCACAATCCAAAAATGACATTTCAGGGAATGGCAGGTGGTGTGGTAGTTAAAAGCACTGGAGTCTCACATGACTAACTGTGGTTTGAGTTCTGGACCTTGCTTTCTCTTTCTCTCTCTCTCTCTCCGTGGTCAAATTAAAAAATAATAATAATAACAAATGGAATTAAATAAATAAATAATTCTTTAAAAAAAAAATGACATTTCAAGCTGATGCCGGTCGGGTGCTCAGATAAAGGCCCTGAGATCTGCAGGGGTACTGAGGCTTATGGGACCTTGGCAGCCTAGTGTGAATTCAGGCCATCTCAGTAGGATGGCTGTGTTCTCTGATGAGTGAATTATTTCCTTGGAGCAAGTGGCATTAAAGACTGAGGCTAGGTCCAACAGTGGCATGGTGGTTAAGGCTCTAGATCCCAAATATGTGGTTCAAGTGCCAGAACTGGTGGCTTAAAAACCATGTGGGGCATGTGTGTGTGTGCCCCAAATCCCTAGAAGAATGGAGGAGAAGAGATTGCAGCATGACCATCCCCCCGGGGGGTTATTTCCTCCCTTTCCCTCTCTCTTTCTATCTCTCTCTCATGCCCCATAGGAAAACAAACAAACAAAAACTCAAAAAACAAAAACAGAAAAATACTGAAGCTACTGCAACAGGGGCTGGGGCAGGTGCTGGATTGGCCGCGTGTCTCTTTCTTCCAAGCCTCAGTAGACTCATCTGCAAAATGGGATTCACCGTTCTTTGCCTGCTTGCCTCCTGGGGATGCAGTGAGAAGAGGGCAGAGAATGTATAGCAGTCCTGACAGTAGTAGTATTTTGTCTGTGCAGGATGTCAGGGTGCTAACCCTCTATCTCATCAGAGCGAGCGTCCCCATTCCTCCAAGGGGAATCCAGCCCTGCACTTGGCTCCAGGTGGGCCTCGCTGGGTTCTTGTTGAATAAATAATGAGTGTGTGAGTGAGTCAATAAAAGTACAAATGAGAAAGTGCCCAGGTGGTTGAATGAGCAGATTGCACGGGGCAGCCGAGTGAGTTGGTAAGTCACGGTGACTCAGGTTTCCGAGCACACGCAGCGTGCCAGGGCTTATTGTAAGGGCTTCTTAATCCTCCCTACCACCGCATGAGACAGGTACTATTCTTAGCCCCATTTTGCAGTTGGAGAAACAAAGGGCCAGAGAAGTAAGTGACTTGCCCAAAGCCACCAAACTGCAGAGTTGAGCTTCCAGCTCAGGCTATCTGGCTCTAGAGTCTGGAGCACTGACTCCTATCCTGGTCCTGGAGTCAATCGGTGAATGAGTGCGCCCATGAGGGGATAAATGCAGAAGCCCTCTCACTCTAAGTCCTGGCAAGATGAGCCACTTTCCAATGGGGAGGCGGATGCTCTTGGGGGGAGGTGAGCATCCAAGGTCTGGACCAGGAGTGGGGTCTCCCCCAGGGTAGAGTCTGAAGGCTGTGCCTCACGTCCGCTCTCCCTCTGCCCTGTCTGCAGGCGGATGCCGCCATGCAGCACTACGGGGTGAACGGCTACTCGCTGCACGCCATGAACTCGCTCAGCGCCATGTACAACCTGCACCAGCAGGCGGCCCAGCAGGCCCAGCACGCCCCTGACTACCGGCCCTCGGTGCACGCGCTCACACTGGCTGAGCGCCTGGCTGGTAAGGGCTGTGGGGACGGGACTGGGGGAGGAGGAAAGGCTGCGGTTGGGGGAGGAGGTTCCAGCAGGTGGAGAGGAGGGAGCACTAGGCCAGCTTTTCCTGATGCCTCAGAAAGACCCAGGTCACTTAGCAACACAAGATGGCAATTCAAAATGCGCGCGTGTCTACTCGGAGCAGGGGGCAGACGTTTTGCGCCAGTGCTCTTCAGGGCCCTGGAGCTGCTCTTTGCCTTCAAATGCCCATAACCTGTGAGGGAGTGTTCACTAGCCCCGTCTCACAGGTAGGAAGGAAGGTGTGAGATTCGTCCAGAGTCATAGCTTGGAAATGGCTGGGAGAGGGTTGGAGTGCCCGGGGCAGGTTTTCAGACACAGGGAATCATAAATATTAATGGCCCTCATGTTTTGAATGCCCGCTGTGTGCCAGGTACTGTGTGAGGCACGTGCTTTCTCTCTTCCTGTGCATCGAAACATCTACCCCTGGTGAGAAGTTATCTCCGTTTTATGGAGCAGGAAACTGAGACTCAGAGAGGTTAAATCTGGACGGGGTGGAGTTGGTACATGACACTGTGGCTGAAAATAGGAGCCTGGAGGTCACTGACTTGCGGTGGGCGTAGGTTCTGCCCACTCACCTCTCTTCTCTGTACCTCCGTGTCCTGTTTTATAAAAGGGGGACGGTGGCAGTGCCATCCCATTGGGTGGTTGGAGAGTGGGGAGTCAGTGCAGATGACGTATGCAGAGTGCTAGCAGAGCCTGGTGGGTGCTCAGAGGTCTTACCATACTGGGCCAAGGTAGGTACTCAGAGGAAGCAGCCAGCTGCCCCCGCTCCTGGGTGGACTGATCATCACCCTGCCCCGATAGCCTCTTGGTGGGTGTGAGAAGAACTCAATGACATAAGTGGGAAGCTCAATTTCCTGGGAGAGGGGGTGATACCATTCACCTGTCTCACGCCAAACCCTGAACAGCCCACCAGGGCCTAGTCCTGTGCCACACAGTCCTCAGAAGGCTCCAGGGACACAGACCCATGAGAGAACATGGCAGGAGTGTGGCCAGGGTCGGATGATAGGGCAGCTCAGAGCAACAGGATCAACTAATGTGGTCAGAGAGGGGCTTTCTGCAGGCACAGGGCAGGAGCTAGGCCTGAAGAAGGCCTGGACTCAAGATAACACAGCCCTGGCCACTTTTCCACATCAGCATGGGGACTCAGTGTCTAGACTAGGGACATAGGTGCAGTCCTGCCCGGCTGAGGCTACTTCCTGTGCCCAACTTGGTGTAACCTCAGGTCCTGATAGCATTCTGGGATCCAAACACTAGACCACAGAGAGAGGGAGTCAGGAAAGGGCTGATGTTGCTGGCGGGGGCAGAGGAGCTGGGGTGGTTGGCTCAGCCCAGCTCTTCATCTTGAGAAAGCGAGGCATGAACTCGGGCGGGCCTTTGTAAGGAGGCCTTATCTTTAGGTGGGAGGTTGTGCCCCTGAATAGACAGACTGGCCTCCTCTGGCCACCCCGACCCTTGTAGTCTCTGGAGCCTGCATTAGGGTGCTGAGCTGTGGCTCCCCAACCGTGATGGGGCTGGCTGAGCTCCACTCCCTGCCTGTTCAAGAGTTAGTCTGAGCTAGGATTAAAGCCAGTTTGTGAGGAGTTTAGGGTTCCCTCTTTAAACTGAAGGGGTATCCCCAAGTCTGGGGTTTCCTGCATGCCCAGTTGCCTCCTTCTTTCCACTTAGGGTGTTCTGGATGACTCCCTAATCCCTGGAGTGTAGGGGAAGGACTCTGGCGGCCCTAGGCCAAGGCTGAGACAACTCAGGTTCCTTTCAGCATAGACAGGCAGGACCCACTTGGGTGGGAGGGAGGTTTCTGTCCATCCTCCTGAGACACGTGAAGCAGACGTGCTGGAGGCTAGAGGCCAGCCTCAGCAGACAGATGTCTGTGCTGGGTGGTTTCATATTACTGACACGTAGGCAGGACCAGGGGGTCGGCGGTCCACCAGCCCTATCGCTCCTGGAATCCTCAGGTGGTCGAAACTTGGTGTCTTTGTTCTTCTGTCCTTGAGCAGGTAGCCAGGAGGGTTGAGACTGGGTACGACAAGCCTTTCTGAGCTTCGGGGGCCCTGCCAGAGCCAGGCTTTCTGCTCAGAAAATGTTAGAGCAGGAGCCTCAGGGTCTTGCCATCAGAGACTCATAGGCCGAGAGGGGTGACAAGTGACCATGTAGACAGCAGCTAGTGAATTCTGTACACCTCCCCTAACTGGACCCTGAGATGAGTACCAGCCTGGCTCACCTCGCAGACCGGCACCAGTGCAGAATCCAAGGCCACAAGGCACGAGAGCCTCTGGGACCTGGATTTAGCATCACGTGGTCTCAGAAGATAGCACTCACAGCATCATGGAGATGCCCCAACCTCGATGCCAAATAAGGATGACCCCTCCACCCCCCTAGCCACATGCCTGACAGCCGTTCATGGAACTGGGTTAGATCTCTGTCCTCACCGAGGTCGGGGAAAGGGAGAGACCCTGAAAACACGGCCATACTGGGAGAGGCAACAGGATCTCCCAGGGGAAGGCCAGAGGCCAGCTCCAACACAGCCTGGGCAGCTGCAGTGGTCAGAGCAGGATCAGGTTCAAAACCTATTTCCCATAATTAAATGGGCCCCCTCTCCTTGCCCTCCAACGGCTGTACATTTCAAGACATCATCTTGGAGGCCCGCTATGGCTCCCAGCACCGCAAACAGCGTCGCAGCCGCACGGCGTTCACGGCCCAGCAGCTTGAGGCCCTGGAGAAGACTTTCCAAAAGACTCACTACCCAGACGTGGTGATGCGTGAGAGGCTGGCCATGTGCACCAACCTGCCTGAGGCCCGGGTGCAGGTAGGACCCAGCTCCCTGAACTAGGCCTTGCAGACAGGCGCCAGGTGTCAGCGGGGCTCCCGTCGACCAGGAGCTAGAGTTTCATCCCTCGGTGCCCGGGGCAGCTGATCCCGCCATCAGTGCTGGAGGGGAGCTGGGGAGGGACAGGGGTGGTACACCCTGCTCCTCGACCCTTTCCTTCCTCCCCACCTCCCACTGCTCTGCTGGTTGTCCCCAGGTGTGGTTCAAGAACCGCAGGGCCAAGTTCCGGAAGAAGCAGCGCAGTCTGCAGAAAGAACAGCTCCAGAAGCAGAAGGAGGCTGAGGGCTCCCACGGGGAAGGCAAGACCGAAGCCCCAGCACCAGATGTCCAGCTGCAGACTGACCAGGCCCCCAGTCTGCCCAGCGGTGACGCCCCTGCTGAGCTTCACCTGAGCCTGTCTGAGCAGTCGGCCAGTGAGTCAGCCCCCGAGGATCAGCCTGACCATGAGGAGGACCCCCGGGCAGGTGCTGAGGATCCCAAAGCTGAGAAGAGCCCTGGGGCTGAGAGCAAGGGGCTGGGCTGCAAGAGGGGCAGCCCCAAGGCAGGTGAGGCCTGGGAAGTGCTGTGGGCAGGCTGGGCCTCGGCTCCGGAAGGACAGCTGGGTCTAGGTGACCAGTGTCGGAGCAGGAGGACAGTCAATACCTGGCACTCAGGGGGCATGGCCAGGGCCAGTTCGGAAGGACAGGCCATGGTGGGCCTGTGCTGGGGGTTCACCCTTTAATTGCTGAGTTGCAGGAAGGTCTAGGGGTTTCTGGGGGAGGGCCGGTGCCAGAGGAGGGGTTTCTGGGGGAGGGACAGGGTGCCAGAGGAGCAGCACTCGGGAAACTCTGGGCAAAAATGATTTCTCAACCATTTGGAAGTATTCCCATGTTTTGGCGATCAGTACAGAATGGGTGAATGCCATAGGTTTGCCCAAGATTCCCACACGCACAGACTTGGAGCTGTGTTTACGAAGGACAGAGCTCTGGCATGAGGCATGGCTCAGACATAAACCTCAGCCCGGGCAGAAGGGGACGGGACAGTGAGCTGGGTGCTGCGGGGGGGGGGGGGGGGG